TATGTCTAGGTCTAGGTCTAGGTCTAGGTCTAGGTCTAGGTCTAGGTCTAGGTCTAGGTCTAGGTCTAGGTCTAGGTCTAGGTCTAGGTCTAGGTCTAGGTCTAGGTCTAGGTCTAGGTCTAGGTCCAGGTCCAGGTCTAGGTCTAGGTCTAGGTCTAGGTCTAGGTCTAGGTCTAGGTCCAGGTCTAGGTCTATGTCTATGTTTATGTCTATGTCTATGTCTGTGTCCATATCTATATCTATATCTATATCTCTATCTCTATCTATATCTATATCTATATCTATATCTATATCTATATCTATATCTATATCTATATCTATATTTATATCTATGTCTATATCTATATCTATATCTATATCTATATCTATATCTATATCTATATCTATATCTATATCCATATCTATATCTATAGATCTATATCTATATCTATATCTGTCTATCCCGCCCGCCTCTGCTCGGGTCCGCCCCTCCGGCGGTCAGCAACCTCCGCCCGTCAGGCATCCGCCCCGGGGGGATAGCGGTTACCTGGCGTACGCTGGTGGGTAAGTCAACCAACTGACTAACTGTCTAGCTAAGTGGCTAATTAGCTAACTCTCTCACTCATATGAGCAGGGAACTCAGCAAGCGAGCCAGCCAGCCAGCCAACCAGCGAGCAATCCATGCAAGCGAGCAAGCCAGCCAGCACGCCAGCAAGCTTGCAAGCCAGCAAGCCAGCAGCAAGACAGCAGGCCAGCAAGCCACGAAGCCAGCAGGCCATCAAGCCAGGCTGGCCTGCTGGGTCAGTCAGCCAAGCCAAGCCACGCCAGGCGAGGACAGGCCAAGCTGGGCCCGAGAAAGGAAAATACAGCTAAGGAAAGCCAAGCAAAGCCCAGAGCAAAGCCAAGCCGAGCCCAGCCCATCCCAGCCCAGCCAAGCCAAGCCAAGGCAAGCCAAGCCAAGCCAAGCAAAAAGCAGAGCCAAGAGCAAAGCCAAGAGCAAGGCCAAGCACGAAGCCAGTCAAAACCAAGCAAACGCCAAGCACCTAGCCAAGCCGAGCCAAGCAACGACAGGCCAAGCCAAGCAAAGCCAAGCCAACCAAACCAAGCCAAGCCTCGCGAAGCCAACAGCAAAGCCAAGAGCAAGGCCAAGCGCAACGCCAAGCAAAGCCAAGCCAAGCCAAGCCAAGCCAAGCCAAGCCAAGCCAAGCCAAGCCAAGCCAAGCCAAGGCAAGCCAAGCCAAGCCAAGCCAAGCCAAGCCAAGCCAAGCCAAGCCAAGACCCAAGCCAAGACCCAAGCCAAGAGCAAAGCCAAGAGCAAAGCCAGGAACAAGGCCAGGCCAAGAGCCAAGAGCAAAGCCAAGAGCAAAGCCAAGAACAAGGCCAGGCCAAGAGCAATGCCAAGAGCAACGCCAAGAGCAAGGCCAAGATCAAAGCCACGAGTAAGGCCAAGGGCAAAGCCAAGCTAAGCAGCGCCAAGCCAAGCAAAGCCAAAAGTCAGGGACACCGGTCATTCGGCAATGCCCCGCGGGATCGTGGGTTTTGGTTTCGGCGCCTGGTGCACAGCCAAGGCAACCTCAGGCGCAGGGCCTCTGGCCGCTTCTTTTTTCTCTCACTCCTTCTTCGGGCCGCGTCTCTGCGCACTATTGGCCAGCCCTGGCGTTCCTGCTGTCTCCTCGGTGCAGGTTTTGGCCATACATTTATTCTCCTTTTTTTTGGCCGCGCCTCTGTGTGCTGTTGGCGTGTCGTGCTGTTTTCCTCTCTTGTCCTCGGCGTGGCAGTTTTGGCCAGTTCTCCTACCTCGTGCTACTTCTTCAGGCCGCGCCTCTGTGGGCTTTTGGCTTGCCTTGCTTCTTTTTATAGGGCCGCGCACGCTTTCAGCACTATTGGCCAGTCCTGCTGCCTTCATGCTTTGTCCTCGGCGTGGCCTTTTTGGCCTTTTCCCCGCGTTCCTTGCTTGGGCCGCGCCTCCGCGTGCTTTTGCTTGTCGTGATGCGTTCCTGCTTTCTCTACTTCTTTGGGCCGCGCCTCTGTGCGCTTTTGGCCAATCCTTTCCTCTTTTGTCTTCGGTGTGGTTTTTGCCGGTACTCCTGTATACTTCTCGCTGCTTCTTCGGGGCGGCGCCTCTGTGCCTTCCGCTAGTGGCCAGTCCTGCTACCTTCCTCCTTTGTCCTCGGCGTTGCCTTTTTTCTAGGCTCCCCGGCGCTGCGGTGCAGCTCCGCACCCATCGTTGACACTTTCGGCGGTTTCTGGGTGCCTGCTGTCCTTCGCCTGGTTTTTGGGTCCTCCCAGCCGGCGTTGGTGGCGATATGCCAGTCTCTCCCCGACCTGGCCCGGAGCGCCGGCCGCCTCCTGCCGATTGCATTCCTCCATGCAGCAATGCTTCTCACGTTCCAAAACTCGCGCTGGCGGCCGCCTTCGACGGCGCCCGTGCTGGTGCTGGCGGCGTCTGTAAGCGTGCGGCATCTTTTCTGGCTCCTGCTCACTCGCGCCTGCGGCCGGGTGGTGGTTTTTTCTGGCTATGTGCCTTATGTGCCAGCCGCCTTCCGCCTGGTTTTTTGTCCTGCTTGCGGCCGGGCGGCGGCTTTTCTGGCTACGTGCCAGCCGCCTTCTGCCAGGCCTATTCTCCTGAGCTCCGCTCCTCCATCTGCCTCTCCCTCCTCTTCTTCCCCCTGGCAACTTGTGCTGCATTATGCTGGAACCCCCGCTCGAAACACTCCACAGAGGGCGGCCATGACGTTATCGGAGCTGCCCTGCGATAAGGCTGCAGCTACTGCTGCTAGGCACTTCCATTCCAGTCTCGTGTCGTTCGTCACGTCGCTAGCCATGTGATGGACACTCGGGCTTGTAACCAATCATCAAACAAGCTGTGCCATTTGAGCGAGATCGTCCTACATCGGATTTGAGGGCTGCGCCCTTTTCGTCTCATCCGACCTCATGCCCGGCCGTTCTCACTCCGCCGTTCTCAGTTGTGTTTAGACCGCACAGAGATGCAATGACTGGAATGTGATCCAGAAAAACGGCACCTCTATGCATACCAATATGCATGCTACTTCTTGCCAGGTCACCGCCCCGGCTAGAGCACCCAGAGGCCGTCACGCAATGCGGCTTGTGCTCGGGAAATTCATGATCTTCAGCTGCTGTCGCTTGAGTTTGCCGTGAGTTTGACCCTGACGTCGTTGAGCCGGGTTGGCTCGTTGAGTCTGACACTGTGAAAGGCAATGTCCTCGGAAATGCAGCAAATTCGAGAGAATTTGCAGAAGCTCCGGCGACTACAGGTGTGCTCCACTGCAGTGTCGGTTCTTCATGGTTTTGCCACTACAGAAGGGTTGGTGGCTAGCGTTCAACTCGTCTGTTGTGCGGCTGTGTCATGGGGCACCTGCAAGCATCTGCAAGCTTGGACTTGTTTGTGCAGCAGGAGCGAGACGAGAAGGCCTTGTTTGGTGGCAGGAGAGACGGCAAAGGAAGGCCCCTTGCCTGTACATTGATACCATCACCCTTTCCCTAAATGCACACCCCAAGCCGCAGAACTTCTGGAGATCGGCAAAATTTCATCAAACCTTCTGCGAGAGTCGAGTGTGTGGAGGAGCGGTTACTCGCAGAGACCGTGTTTGGAGTATCCGTGCAGCCCACGCCCAGCGAGGTTTGAGTGGCCGGACGGCACTGTCTACGATGGTGAGTGGCGCTCCGATACTGCGGGAGGCTTATTTTTCAGGCCGCTCTTCGGAGCGTCTATGGGGCTCTGCTTAGTGTGTTGGGTAAGGTCGAAGGCGAAGCCTTCAAGCGGAAGGTGCAGGCACGGCTCCGCCTTTGTGGCCTCTATAACTGTCGGTTCTTGAGCAATCGGCTGTCAAGTGTGTGATTGTTTTGTTGGTCTTGTGCCATGTCTCTGCACGGACATGCATCGTCAGACAGATTACCCTACGATCTCGTGCTCTGGTCCATGGTCTGCACATCCCTAAACCATCTGCGCGACCCTGAAGCCATTTGCGATTGCTCTTCTGTTTCCGCTCCGCCGAGCCGATGGATTCGATTGGATGGATCGTCTTCTTGACGTTGGTCTCCAATGCCTTTCGTGTGGTACAAAGCCACGCTTACTTGGCAGATCCACCGAGCCGAAACCTTGTGAGGGCGCAGGCAGGGACGGAAGACTGCCCGCATTGCTTGAACTCCAACGGTCCAGACAATGTCGCCAAGCTGGGCAACAACGTTTGGCCCACGCACCTGGCTCCCGAGTCGCATGGCCTCTGTGGTGATCCGGTACAAGGCCATTCTCAACCCCTCAGCCTTGAAGACGAGGAGTACCTGGTGCCATCGGCCGTGCAAAGGACATACACGGCCGGGAGCGTTGTGGAGTTCCGCGTGGTGGTCTCAACTCATCACACAGGCCATGCGGCCCGGCAAAGACCCTAACCCTGGATCTAAGTTTCAGACGAATCTCATGCCGACCTTGCAGGCCATTACGAGTTCAGACTCTGCAACAGGGTCCTTGACACCATGCTCCAGTCCAGTCGCGAGGACACGCTTTGGCCTTCTCCGGACGTAAATACATATGCATTTCTGCAAACTGTAAGTCTGCATTTGATGGATGTGTGCATGTGTAGGTCAGGTGTGCGTGTGCGTGTAGGTGTAGGTGCAGGATGGTGCAGGTGTATGTATGTATGTGTCCTGCCAAGGTATCTATGTATGTCTGCATGCATGCATGCATGGATGTGATTGTGTATGTACATGTATATGTTTATGTTTATGTTTATGTATATGTATATGTATATGTATATGCATGTATATGTAGGTGTATGCATGTATATGTATGTATATGCATGTATATGTATGTGTATGCATGTATATGTATGTATATGCATGTATATGCATGTGTATGTAATGTGTATATATGTATATGTATGGATATGTACGAGTATGTGTGAGTATGTATGTATATACATTTGTTTGTATTTGTATGTGCTCGTATATGTATGTGTATATGTATGGTGTGTATGTGCATGTGTATGTGTATGTATATGTATATCTATATGTGTATGTGCATGTGTATAAGTATGATGCATGTGTTTGCTTCTGCGCCTTCACGTGTGTAGATAGATATGGACAAGAGTTCACACGTTACCTCTTACCTTCTTGTGTACACACATACATGTGCAGCTTATAAACCATAGTCGGCACCCGCTTTTGCGCGCGAGTGTGCGCAGCACACGGCCATGCTAACCAGGTCTCGTTGCATCCAACGGGACTCCAACGTAAGAATCAGTGTGCACCACACTGTTTGGGGAACTTATTTACATGACCGACCGATAGACAGAAAATAGATCGTTCCTCTGTGCAGATATTGACTTTCGCGTGCGCTCAGGGCCAGGACTGCCTGGACAAGGTCATCCTGCAGCGTGCAGCACCTGCGAGTGATTGCGTCGTAAACGACCCTCGAGGATGTGCTGCTGAAGAAAGTTGGCTAGAAAGGGGGTAAGGGGACTATGCAGTTGCTACCAGGAGACTGTCAGCCCATCGACTCAGAGAATCCTGGGCGTTGGTACCTTCCTCCTCGAGGGGCGAATCCGCCTGCAGGGGCCTCCTGGGCCTCCGGCCTCCCGTCTGTGACCGAGGCAGGGGCGAGGCAGGGCGAGGCGCCTTTCCCCCCCTTTTCCTTTCCGCCCTGCGTTTGTCGAAGGTCCACACCATGAAGTATGTCATTCCCGCAGACTTCTCGTGCCAGAAGTGTACGCTGCAGTGGTACTATGCTACTGCCAACAGCTGTCTTCCCGATAATTCCTACAGGAACTTCGGAGGGTGCGAGCCGTGATGCAGAGCCTGTAGCCGAGACTTGTCCCGAAGCGAGGACATACTTCCAGGGACTCCAGAGCTTGGGCTGGAACTCTGCCAGTCAGCCACCGAGTCTCTCCGTCTGAGTGTCGGTCGTGGGCCGTGCGGACGTGCTGAGGCTGGAGTGCATGGGCTGTTGCGAGCTGGGCGACCTGTGATGCCGCCTGCTGCGGCCCCGAAGGGCGAGGAACCTTCGGCGAGGAGTTCTGGAATTGTGCCGACATCGCATCTTGGAGTGAAGCATCCAGCAAGGCCTTCTGGTAGTCTCGGGCCCGCTTCTTACTTGGCATGCGAGCTGCAGAGGTAGTTCTGGAAGGGAGCGGGCCTGTTCCCTCGACATCTCCTTCGCCTTCTCCATCCCCGGTGTCAACGAGTCAGGTTGGTGTGCTGTAACAACAACAGTTTGCAACGCGAAATCGGAAGGATGCCTTTGTGCAAGTTGGATTCATCCTTTCATTGAGAGAGACCCTGGCAGGTCGTGACCACGACCACAACCATTCCGACTGGACCATGCTCAGCAGTATATGAGCAATGCGGCGGCAACAACCACAACGGTCCAAAGTGCTGTCAATCAGGTTCGGCTGCGGGGTTGAAAGTGGACTTCGTATTCATGTCGCGTGAGTTGTTCCAAGCGCAGGCTCATATTGCAAGTTTTCGAACGAGTGGTACTCGCAATGCCTCCCTGGTACCGATCCCACGCCTCCAACCCCGACCCCTACTCCACCAACACCAGTGACCACGGCAGCACCTGTCACGACGTCCGATGCCGCTCTGCAGCACCCTTTGAGACTTCGGCAGCCGCCACATCAAGGTTGCAGCGGTTGATGTGAGCTGTGGAGGTATCGCCAAGGAGACCCAGCCAGTGCTCCTGTACGTCCAGTACTTCCTGGGAAGGATCCTGGGAGTCTATGCTCTAGGCCCTAGGCCCCAGGCCACACGTAGGCCTCTCTTGGCTTTGTGACTAAGGATCCTTTGACCGGTTTGCTGCTTCTCTCGGAGGTGCCGGGCTGAGGGCATTTAGCTTTCCGAGGGATGTCTTGCTATTGTGCGGGTGCTGTCTCGAAATGGGTGCTGCCTTGCTGCGGTGCGTCCACTGGCAGGAGATGCTGATTTCTGTGGCCAGAACTTCGGCGGTTCTGGGCCATACATTTCCGCAGGCGGTGGCTCTGATGGCGGCGGTGGCTGGAGTGGAAATGCGCCCTGTATGTCTGGACAGTATAGCTTCAGCAGCTCAGGTCAAATTTGAGTTGTGCTGTCGTTTCCGGCTCTTACATACAGAAGTAGCAGAAGGCTTTCCGCGCAGACTCGGTGCCGGGGGGGAAGCAAAGGCGAAGACGGCTGGAAGATCACTGCTTCTGCCAGTCAGGCCGCAAGCAAGGCTCCGTACCGGGCCTTCACCTACTTGAACTTCTGTGGTGGCAGCGCATACAGCAACTGCTGGTCCACCGCTGCCAATGTGTTCTCGTTCGCCTTTAAGACATCTGGTGCAAGGCGCGCTGCATTCGGGGTTCAGATGGCCATATCCTTTGCTGAGCAAAAAGCTTCGGCCGCCAAAGCCAAGGTTGCTGCACTTCTGCGTAAGGATGCGTAAGGGCACGCATTCAGCGGCTTCACGGGAGGAGTTCGGGGACGTTTCCAGCATCCATAAACCCCAAACCTCCAAAAACCTTCGCTGTTTTTACGAACCGGAAGGCGTGAGTTTCAGGGTTTCGAGGTTGGGTTCGGTGCTGGGCGGACTATTGGAACACGATGAGGGCAGTTTCGGATCAAGCCCGGTGCAGTTTCGGTTCCATGCCGTGGTCAGTTTCGGGCCCGGTTTGCAGGAGACCCTGCTAATCCCAGCCCCAAAGCCAGATTCCGGACGCAAAGCCACAAAACCTAACAACATCTAACAACCTTCACCAGCTCCCGCGCAACTTCACACGCGAGTGGTGAAACTCGAGCCACAAAAGCCCACCAACCTGAGCCAGTGTGCCATGTGAGACGTCCTTGGCCAGCACAACCCCACACGCCAGCTCAAGCTTGCAAGGCGATTGGTGGCATTCTCAAAAACCGGCGCAACGTTTGGCGATTGCAGTTGGTCTTGTTCTTATGCCGACACCTCATTGATTAGGCGACGGCTGATCACGCATCGGAAACCCGTCCTTCGCCGAATGCGGTTGATCAAGTTTCTTATGCCTGCCCTCATCAGGCGATGGCGGTTGCTCACATTTTGCAAACCCGCTTCTTTTCTTACACCAACCCCCTCATGAGGCGACGGTGGTTGAGCGAATATAGAAGGTAGGAAAGATGATAGTGGTGGTAAAAAGGACGATGAACACGATAAAACTTGTGTGGAAAGCAGAGGATTCCACTTAACTCTCGATCACAAAGCAGGGCGCAACCAATCCTATACCCAGCAAGCAAGGCAACTGCAGAAGCAGAGCAAGGCAGTGCTTGAGGTCAGATCGGAGTCGGAGTCTAGCTCCGTTAGGTGAACTGCACAGCCAGAAGATAAAGTCAGGCAGCCCTATGCGCTGACGGCCTTTTGCTGGACCTCACGCACGGTGGGTCTTGAGCAGTCAAGCTGCGAGTGAAGCAAAGTTGGCATGAAACGTACAGTAACAAGCACTCACGGTGTATGTGTACGCGAGTCTGTGACAAATCACGCCGCCCTCGACGCGAGCTGACGTGTCAGCGGAGTATAAGAGTGTCGACAGATCTCGGTCGTACGTCGAGCCATGCCTCTGCCGGAACCTTTCAAAGCTTAAATCCAAGAGACCTTTAGACATGGGTCGACTCTTGAGGCCCGATCAAGCCTATGCTTCAGCCTGTACATTCGCAGCCTTCTCAGGCAGTAAATCTCGAGGAAAACACCATGGCTAGCCATTGCACCCCTGTGGGTCCTCTCAGCTTCGGCAAGGACAAAGCCCTGCTGCGGAAAACGATGGAAATGGTATCTGATGCGCGGCTTGTGGGAGAGAGCCAGCCCTCCACAGAAACTGCTCACCCTGCCAAACCCCGGCCCCGAAACCGACCGGGTCTGTCCCGAAATTCGCCCGAAACTGCCACCCGTTGATCCGAAACCCGCGGAGTCCGATCCGAACACCCGGGGCTTGCGAACCCTAGGCCCTAGGCTTGAGCCCTTTCGACAGGGACATGGGTGCTTTCGTGAAGCTCTTCTTCTGGACGGATGCTGGGAACATCTTGGGCCTGGTGCCCCCCGGGCACAGCAAAGGCCTTTGGGTAAGCTTCTCTTCCGGCCCCTTCTGTCTGCGGTTTTTGGGCTGGGTTCACGGACCCTAGGACCCTAAGGCTTCCCTCACAAAAATATATAGGTTGTTGGGCAGCGCTAGCTCAAGCGCATCCTGTTTTGCGTATTTATCTCCATGCCAAGATAGCTGGCACAGACGGGCGGGAATAGAGCATTCAGACACTTGAATCGACGAGCTCGAAGTGTGAGAGGGGTGGAGTATTTAACGCAAAGTGCTGACCTGTGACATTACACAAAGAGGGGACAGTTGAACATGGTGTGTCGACCCGCTTGCTTCGATATTGCAGAACGCGAGGCTCGGAGGTGCCAGGGCGAGCCAGACCTCCTTAGTGTCACATGTGCAGAGATGTCGGGCTGTCCCGGTGCCGGTCCTGCTGTGATTCGGCATGGTGAAGAACAGAGCTACATGAGGACATGTATGCAGGTAATTCGCAGAAAGGGTGTAGGTCTGACGATGGTGTCTCCTCGCCTGTAGCTCAAGAACGTCGGCTTGTCGACTCTGTGGCTTGGGTGCGGTCGTCCTGCTTCCCTTCAGAGGCGCTGGCAAGCTTCGCCTCGTCTCCTTCATGTCCGACGACTTCCCGAACAACTGGCAGGACGAAGTAGAGGTGGAGGACGATGTCTGGTACCATGTCACGGCTTCTCATCGAGAACTCAGAAGTCAGAATCGCCGCAGCAATCGTAGCGTTCCAAGGTTACCTTCCGGCCTGCGACCAGGGCCGTCGAGTTGAAGCTGGAGGCACGGGACTGCTGCAAACCTAGCGGGAGTGCAGACGTTTGAAACCGAGGGTTCCGACTTCAGCAGCGGGACCATCCCGGTGGACATGCTTGCGGTCTCGAACGGGCCCCAGCTGGGTATCTACTCCTTCGACTATTCTGGATCATGGCCAAGCATCTTGTCCCTACGTCGGAAGCGTTTTCCGCTGCACGTTCGCATCTTCTCGTCACAATGTGCTTACATCTTTTAGGTTTCTTGCAGTCGTCTTTTAAGTTGTTGGTCTGATTGCCTTTCTTATTCACGGCACAACTGAAAAGCCACCTCCGTGTGTTGTCACATCATATTAGCAGTGGCAAGAAAAGTGCTACTTGAATGAGGGCACAGGGGACGAGTCGGATATAAGATATTTACAGGCTTTCTTTGATCTGTGGCGTTTTGGTCAAGTGATTTTATTGAAGCCAGGCGATGGTTTCGCCCTCTGGATAAATGACCCCTGTGTGGGAGAAGCCAGATGCACTTCGAGTACGGTCACCAGCACCATGAGCCCATCTCCGAGCATCTTGGCTTGCCAGCAGCGGCAGGTATACTCAAGATCCTGTTGCGATAGTTGAGAGGCGAGCATCTAGAATCTCGTTCTGTCAAATGTTCTTGCATGAAGCGGTTAGAGCCAAAGAACAGTTGTTCCCCGGATTCTTGTACGCAAAAGACCAAAGACGACCTTCCACCGGTCTGAGGCACAACTCAGGGCACCACTCCTACAGGCTGCTCCCTGCCGAGTGGCATGCAAGCAGGCATCCCTGCTCCCCGGCACCAAGTGGTTCTGGCACGCAAAGGCATTGGGAAGCACCAAGGTGGATCGCCGCGGCTTCGCTTTCCAGCACGGCAAGCTCACTCTCTCCGGTCCTCAGCTGGTCGATCTGAGGGGTGATTCTGTGCAACTGATCCTTGACCATGTTCCCAGAATAACTCTCGAGGTCCCAAGTCTAATGAGCAGTGGCACGCTGAGAGCTCGCCGAATTGAGGAAGGGCATGTCAACTCACGGACTGCATTGGTTTCCGGACTGCTGCTTGTCTGCGCGGATTTTGATTATGCTCTGACCAGAAGCAGCTCAGGGTAGAACTCTGAGGCTACGAGAAGAGCATGCTGGAGCACCTGGTCTCCAGCTGGGGCATCACCGTGTTCAGAGCGGCCATGTACATCGGTGAGGGTGGATATGCCTCGGACAACTCAGCAGGGTGCCAAGTGCTTGCCAAGGATGAAGGACAGGAAGAGTTGCTCTTCAGCTGCTTTGGGACTGGGGACCATTGCTTAGGTCGCACAGCTGGTGGACGAGATCGTTGCTTGGGGTGAGGAGTTCGGAGTCTATATCATCATCGACTGGCATGCCGGAGACTCGACGCAGCTTCCTGCAACTCTGTGAAAGATCATAGTTTCTGCAGATTTCTGCAGTCTTTTCCACAGGTCTTGACGCCCGGAGATCCGAACCACTGGCTGACCGGTGCGGGTGCATCTCAAGCAGATGCTGCGGCTTACTGGCGTGAGACAGCCCTGAAGTACAAGAGCAAAACCCATGTTCTTTATGAGATCTGCAACGAGCCCAACGGTGTCGACTGGCCCACCGTCAAGACGTACGCCGACAGCATCATCTCTGTGATCCGCGAGGCCCATCTCTATGCTTGGGTTGATCACACTCTGCTGCGCAACTTTCGTTTGCTGAGGTCGATCCAGAGACAATCATCATCGTTGGCACGCCAACCTGGAGTCAGGCTTAGCTGCCAAGAGTTGCAAAACCCGGTAGTGAGTGGTGATTCTTGATGTTCAAGCGTTGCTTTGTTTTGCAGGATATCGACAAAGCTGCAGCAAACCCCGTCCAGATGCCCTATAACGCCTCCTGACACGCGCTGGAGATTTGAGAAAGGGACTAGCTCCGGCAGACTGAGACGTGAGCTCCCGCATGTCACGTTTGTCTCTTTTTCCAAAGGTGTGCCGTATGTCCCCTGAGGTCATGTATGCCTTCCACTTCTATGCTGGGACGCACAGCTTTCTCCTTCCGCGCTTGCGCCAGTATGCTTCGCAGATTCCCATCTTCGCCACGGATTCTTGGACAATGTATTGCTAGTGCAGCTAGTCTCGATATTGCAAGTGCCTCCCAACACGGTATCCGTAAATCCAGCTTGATGACCTTAGCCTCGCGAGCCGTGGCCCAGGAGTGGGGTACCAGCCAGGCGAACGGGGACGGCGGGCCCTACCTGCAGCAAGCCAAGGCCGGAGGCTGAGTGAGAAGGATCTGCTACGATTCTGTTTGTGGATTCTGTTTGCAGTACACACGTAAATCCAAGTGGAGTCGCAGGAGTTCTTGGATCTTTTCGGCAACGGAGAGCTCGGGGTCACGGTGAGTTGGGCCCAGTGGAGCCTGGCAGACAAGTCGGAGGTCTCGGCGGCTCTCAGCAGTGGAAGCTGTGGATCTGATAGCATCCCAGCTGCGAGTTGAGGCGTTGGGGAGTATCAGTATCACGTCCTCGCATATGCGGGGTTGATGTAGCTGCTGCTTCGACCGGTTAAGGCTGGGACGGCGTGTCTTGCTCGGGCTTCTTTGTCCGATCGTATTTGAGAATGCATGCAGAAGATCCCACCACAACTGGTCCCCCACCGACCTCGACAGTCACCGCGAAGCCCACCACCCAACCTGTCACAACAACCACCACTCCGATGGGCACAACAACCTCTGCGACTGTGGTCCCAACAACTACCCCGACCCTGGTGGTAACGCTTCTGGGTATGATGAATTATTTGTTTCTACTGTGGATGAAGGCTTTTGGTTCCGTTCGCGGCACTTCTCTGCGACACATCTAAGGATGGGTCCTCCTATTGTGCGGGATATGTCTGCCGAGTGTGGCGGGTGGTGCCAGTATAACGACAATGAATGGGCAACCAAGTGCATGTGGACACTTACCTTAAAAACTAACTGACATTGTCACAGAAGAGTGAATGTGGTTGCCAACTCAGTGAAGGCATGTTCATTTTCTGTAGTGTCCCAAATGTCCGGTAACTTCCGTAAAGCGAATGCTGCCTGTGAAAGACAAGGCTGTAGGATACCTGCATCACCATAGGTCATGCGTGATAAGCCAAGGATTGGCTGCAGCTTGTGCGCAGGATGTGGAAGTGTCACAACGACTCATGTGGCCACGACGATGTCGTCATCGACTGTAGTTACAAGCACCGCGAGCACAACTAGGGTCGTCAGCACAAACGAGCCGACGACGACCACCATCGTGGCATCAACGACTGCCCCAAGTGGCCCCTGTGCAGCACTGTATGGCCAGTGTGGTGGTAATGATTACGCTGGACCAACCTGCTGTGAATCTGGCTCCACTTGCACTTTCGGCAATGACTACTACTCACAGTGCCTCCCTGGCTCCTCCCCTTCTCCCACACCTGCGCCAACACCTGCTCCATCACCTTCCCCCGCACCGTCACCGTCTCCATCACCGCCCTCTCCTCCCGGGCCTGTGGGCAGCAATCCCTTCGAGGGACACCCCTGGTACGTGAACCCATCTTACAGGGACTTGCTGTCCGCGTCGATCAATCTGACGAGTGGTGGGGTGCGGGCGACCTTGGAGTCCATGCAGAACGTGCCCTCGGCCTTCTGGATTGACGTGAAGTCCAAGATCTATAAGGGACAAGGCCACCCGGATCACAGCACGGTGGAAGGGATTCTGGAAGACGCCGCAAGCTGCTCACCTCCTAGCCTTGTGGTGCTCATCGTTTACGACCTTCCCAACAGAGACTGCTTTGCGCTAGCTTCAAATGGAGAGATCTGCTGCCACTATGGCGAAGACAAGGGCCGAACTAAGTGCGACATGTCGACTTCGGGACCGAATGCTGGCTTCTACCGGGAGGTGGCCGGAGCCAACTGTGCCGATGGCCTCGCTGAGTACAAGTCGACCTACATCGACCCTTTCGCGGAGGTCGTCGGGCGCTTTGCCGACAGGGTGCCGGTGGTTCTGGTGATTGAACCTGACTCCTTGCCCAACCTGGTCACCAACATGAAGGACAAGAGGCCTGACAACTTCCGTGGCTGTCACGACGAGACGAAGGTGGGGGTTGGTTTTGGGGCGATAGTTTCGTTGGGGGTTGATGGTGAGAGATGGAAAACTACGTAGGTGCCCATCAGGTGGCTTATGAGGAAGGTATCCGCTACGCCGTCGAGAAGCTCTCCGCGACAGGGGCACAGCTGTACGTGGATGCCGGGCACGGGGGTTGGCTGGGATGGGCCAACAGTGCCTCTGCTGCGAGTGGATAAGTAACCCGCACATCCATTTCCGTTGTTTCTCTTTGTTTCAGGGCATCTACGATGCCTCCTGCGAGGCAACGATGACCAAACCGGAAAGTTCGCCAACATCATCGCCAACATGCAGATTGCCGACAAGGTTCGTGGCTTCGCCACGAACGTTGCAAATTACCAGCCCTTAGGAAGTGTGGTCTGCTCGGAGCCGGGTAAGTGCAAGGGCCAGATGAGCAGCGACCCGTGTTGTGCCGATGACCCCTGCAACCTGCAAAAGGATTGGAACTGGGCGCACAACGAACTGAATTATGTGGATGTCCTGGACTACAAGATGCGAGCAGCCATTCCTGGCTTCACGCCATCCTTCATCATCGACACTGGCCGTAACGGCAAGCCCAACACCCGCAGTGATTGTGGCAACTGGTGCAACGCCAGAGGTGCGGGTATAGGTCGTGTTCCAACGACAGCCACTCCAGATGCCCGAATCGATGCATACTTCTGGCTGAAGACTCCCGGCGAATCTGATGGCTGCACGGAGGTCCTTCCAGATGGTACGAATTGCCCTCGGTTTGATGAGATGTGTGCATCTGTGGACTCGTTAGGGAGCAGCAATGGAGAACCACGCGCCCCTGAGGCAGGTCTCTGGTACCACTATCAGATCGCGATGCTGGCAGAGAATGCTGACATGGGTGATGCCTCTGCCTTTAGTGTTGCAGGGAGCTGTGGAAGTGTCACGGGCTCGCCGCAAGTGACGATTCTGACCGATGCATCTGTACGAAGTTCAGGGCTGGCGGCTCGACTTGGCTGGCGCACCTCAAGTTCGCATGCCTTGAACCAGGGAGTCACAATGCTGGCGCTGAATACCCGCCATGCCCGCATGTTGCTCATAACCGACAACACGACGGAGGGGTTCGAGGGCAAGGACGGCGGTGTGGATCGTGCATGCCGTGGTGGAAGCAGAACCGACAATGCGCCAAGCAACTACGAGATTCACGCTGCGGCCACTTTGGATGAGTGCAAGGCAGTCTGCATGTCAGTCGAGGGATGCAAGGGCATTGAGTACAGCAGTGGCCGGTGTGAAGTATGGACACGTGCCGGTGGCATCCAAGCTACTATCGAGCTTGCCGGCTTCAGCTGCTACACATACGGAGAAATGGCAGTGGATGATGGGTTCACTCCTGCCCACGGTGGCGTTGATCGCGCATGCCGAGGTGGAAGCAAAACCGACAATTCTCCCAATAATTACGAAATTCATGCTGCTGGCAGTTTGGACGAATGTAAGGCGATCTGCATATCGATAGAGAGCTGCAAGGGCATTGAGTACAGTCCGGGTCGATGCGAGGTGTGGACACGGCCGGGCGGTATCCAGGCAACCATTGAGGTTACTGGCTTCAGTTGTCACCTTTACAACGGAATGGCAGTAAGGGGAGAGTTTTCGCCCGTGGACGGCGGTGTGGATCGTGCATGCCGTGGTGGAAGCAGAACCGACAATGCGCCAAGCAACTACGAGATTCACGCTGCGGCCACTTTGGATGAGTGCAAGGCAGTCTGCATGTCAGTCGAGGGATGCAAGGGCATTGAGTACAGCAGTGGCCGGTGTGAAGTATGGACACGTGCGGGTGGCATCCAAGCTACTATCGAGCTCGCCGGCTTCAGCTGCCACGCATACAGACCAAACCCTACCGCGATGGCAAAGTGTGTCGAGATGAGTGACATGTCTGCTGCCGTGTCGGTCTCCACGATTCCACTACCCTCTCCACGGCACAGCCAGTGCTCCAACTTCGGAGTTGCGTTGTCATGCCGTCATGTGCACTATGCAGCTGCTGCGGACAAGGATTTGCAGGCCGTGCTTTACAATGATGATACAGGGAAACCTTACTTGTTGCTGGTGGAGGGAGATACCATCCTTGCCTCTCAACCACTTGCATCTTCGCCTGGACCCTACCCGGTGATGCTCGCCCGGCTGTCAGTGGCACTTGAGCCAAACTTTTTGTGTGCCTTGCCTAAGGTCTTTGGAGGTGCGAGGCCTGGACTTCGAACCTGCCGGAGACTATCTCGTGGTTCTTCTCTCCGGTGGCAGTGCATATGACAGCCCCAGCTTGTTCAAGCCTCTTGCTGGCAGGCCCGGCAGATCATAGTAATCTTGCGGGGCACACCGTCCGAGGAAGTTTTCGGTGCCCGGCCTCCAGGAGGTCTGGAGCACACCGATTCGCGATCCCCAGGTCGGGCTGGAGAGGCTTGGTCAAGGGAGCAGGTGTGGGAGGACCAGATATAGTCTGAAACGAGGTGGACACCGGATGCGGCCCAGTCCCTCGCCGTGTCCTCCAGCCGCTACATCCAGCATTCGGCCGGTGAGTGCAGGCGGGAATGAGAGTCAGAGTCAGTGTCGGTGCCGACTACCTCCGCGTGCTCAGGTCGGGGTGGTGCTCTGGACATCAAGGCTGCAAAATGCCCACTTCCTGAAGTGCGGTGCTCACGCTTCGTTCAACAGGTAGATTTGCCGCTAGGTGGGATGACAGTGGTCGTTGATGCGAGCGGCCAGCAGCGCTCGTATTCTGGCGATGCCTGGAGCTCGCATTCGTGCAAGCAGATGGCGGCCTACAGCGCCACTCGCTCAGCAATCCCACTCAGCTGAGCTCAACAGCGCTGGGGCAGAGAGCCCAAGCCTGGATGAGGCCGTCTCCGACACGTTCCTGCTTGCAACCGCCGGGGATGCATATCCCGACAAGCGACAGCCTCAGCTTTTCGGACGGGGGTTAAATTTTAAAAAGCGGCACAGATGCCCAGTGATCAGGTTAGTCTTCTCAACCCTCAAGGACTTCTAGCCGGGTCTAGAGTCTAGAAAGGCCAAGCAGGGCCTAGCACGTCCAGCATCCTTTGTGTAGCCTCGTAGCCTCGATCAGGACGACGCCTTGTTGCAGACTGCCAGCTTCCAGAGCTGGGGCGACGGGGCAGGCTCCCAGGGAGTCAGCGGGGGCGCGATCAAGGCTTGCGTCCTCCCCGCCATGGGACCAGTTGCTAGTAGCTGCTAGTGCCAGTTCTTACGTTTGAGCATCCTGTGCAGCATCCCGGACCCTGGATAGGCCGATCTGCGCGGTGGGTTTGGAGCTGTCTGGACATACGGAGAGAAGGGCAGCTCGCATTTGTTAGGGCAGACTTTCGCCACCATGGTTCATAGAGTTTCTCTCCTTCTGCCAAGGTGGACTTTCCGATAAGCTCTTCTTCGCCACCTTCTCTGCCAACGGAAGTGTCTTGCCTCTGGCTCTGTGTTGCTGTCGGTTGCCCAAATTGCCAGCGGTTTTCCAAGGTTTTTTGACTAGTCCTCGGCGCCTCTTTGACGATTCCGGTTCGGAGATTGGGGGCAACCTGGTCCCACTTGCAGATGGCAACTGGCTCGTGGCATACACCAAGTCAGACTCGGATGTCATCTCTGACTACTTGAGGACTTTCTTGGCTTGAGAACTGCCAGAAAACAAGTCACCGGAAGAATACCCTCAACCCTCGGTCCGACACACAAAACTCCTCTACCCTAAACCCTCAGCCCCAAGTATCAGACAAAATGCACCTTGGAGATCCTTGAGCCGTGTGGTGGCTTCCAGGACTCTCTGGGATGACTGGCAGCTGCCGGAGGATCTCTATGTGTGCATGCAGCGTTCTTGTCTCCTGCAGAGGGCCACGATTTCTTGCGATGACGTTAGCGATGCTCGAACTGCTAGCTAAACCAGTCTAGGACAGGCAACAGCAGCGATGGCGAGTAAGGCGCTTGACATAGCTTTGGCTTAAGCTCTGGCCTTGGCCCTGTAAGGTTTGGGCTTTGTGCAAGACCAGGATAATTCAGGGCTGCGGTGCGGCAATGCGACGGGTTTTGGCACCTGTCATTAAAGGGAGTCGAGGGGCAGCAGGACCTGCGACTGGAAGGAGGTCGTTTGGCTGTGGTAAGTGGCGATGGACTTGTCCTCAAGGACCCCCTACCAGCCTAATTACTGAGTGTGCGACATGTCGGCGTGCTGCACCGGACCCAACATGGCAAACCTACTGCAGGACGGCATCAAGCTGAGCCCAGAGGCCAGCCTGCCCATAGAGATCAATCACATGGTGGGGCGACCGGACGGTTTCAGCTCCAGCCTCAGCAGCTTCGAGGGGCCAAGTTTGCTTTAAGATGGATCTGACGAATCTTGGAAATAAGTTTGGACGGGTATCCCCATGGTCGCTCGGGGGAAGGTAGGTTCTGGATGTGCAGAATCTTGCAGACACCGGTAGAAGTGGTTTATGGGGTCATCCGTGTGTTGTTCTGCTGTCTTCAACTGGCGAGTCAGACATCTTTCAAGATAAGATGACTGCATTCTGAAGGTTCATAGCATCTTGCAGAACCTGCGAGAGACTGGAAGCACTAGTGCTGATGCAGTGAAACAGTGTCATAACAGACACTTACTGTAAACATCCTGCCCGGCAACAGCTTCATGTGTGTCGTGGTGTTGCTTCAGCCTTCAGTCTCGAGGTATACACGATAAGTAAGAAGCGAAGATGTCAGAAGTCCGAGCCCATCGAAAGCCAAGATCATTTGATAGGGATGCTTCGTTCATGAACCGCCGCACCCGCAGCCACAGCTTGAACGGCTGAAGCCCCCTCCTAAGTCCAGAGTGCTTCAACCGAGGTTGGGCCTCAGTGGATGCAAGTGGCCAGACTTTGCGCATCGCTCACCTCAAATGCTCTTAGGCGCCAGCTACTTTTCGACGTCTATGTTTTAGATCTAGGTGTGGCGAGTGAGTTGGGGAGGCCAGATCTTGGGGCACTGAAGATAATTCAGGTTGGAAGTCGGCGGCTAACTAAGCTCTAGGCGCTCCTTTGGCACACGACACTTGCCAGGCCGGCGCAAGGATGCATGGTATGTTCAAACCTCGATGTCTAGTTGTTTAGGTGTATAGCCTGGCAAAGCTGCAGAACTTCAGCAGCATTGCCAGAGATGAAATTCAAGCACAATTCAACCCGTGTCAACTGGGAGAGAGCCAGAAGAAAGTTAGGGCACGAAGCTGAAAAAGCAGTCGTCGATACGCTTGTAATTGGCTTTCTCAAGTTTTACACTCGGTTTTGTTCTGGCGGCGTGCGAGGAGCGCCTTCCTACAGAGGTACAGCTCGCGCTTTTTGCAAACCGGCAGCTGGTGCATGAAGTCGAACGCACTGCTGAGCAGGGGTGGAGAAGATACCCCGAAACTAAGCGGAAGTTGCAACTCGAGATTCGCAGATGCACTCGGCGGTACTGTGCAGCTTGCGAAAGCTTCACAGCTACAGTATAGTTTTGGTAAGCCAGCGACAGCCACGGACCTGAAAGTCCGCGGCCAAAGGTTCGCTTCTCCGTGCTGGCTAGTAGTGTCAGCTCGCGGAGCTATAGATTTGCGATGATTTCCATCTGTCTTTGTTTTACGTCTAGACTATGTTTCGAAGGGCTCGGAGCTCGCGGAAGGGGCATGTAAAGGCGAGTCCAAAAGGGAGGTGGTCCGAGGTACGTTCCCCCCAGCCAAGCCCAAAACTCCAATTAAAGGCCAGCTGCATCTCCAGGCCGAAGGAGGCGGTGGTCAAGAAGCCTGTCGTCTCTCGCAAGAGGCTGTCCAGGCGGAACTTTGACAAATCTAGACATGTCCGACATGTCCGCGGGATGAAAGGTTTAGAGTCTGTGGTCTGTGGGGTTTAGGACTGCTTGGCATTCAGCTCGTCACAGGGCCACCTGCAGCATCCTGCAGCCGGTCGCATCTCGAGCCAGGGAAGCCTTTGACTGCAAGCCAAAACTATCTACCAGGGCTGGCTGCCTGAGAGAAATCAACAACATGCCGAATCTTCTGTGACTTGATGTGCAGTGTCGGAAGTCACCAGCCGCAATCGATGCAGATGGCGATGGTTCCCATGCTACCTTGAACACTGGTCTGCCAAGTCCGGGACAAATGCTGCGCGAGACGCTTTCGTGCGGACTGGAAGTACACCTGGGACCTCGGCAATGTCTATGAGCGGGACGATTTGGGTGGCCTGAAGGATCGAAACAATGGACTCTCACAATAAACTGCAGGGCAGAAGACGTCTTCACAGGAGCTGAAGGCACAACACAGCAGCTTCACAGCCCAAAACAGCAAAAACGCAACTGGACAGCAGGAGCAGCCACCGTCAAGCAAACGGAAAAATCGAACGTCTCGGCAGAGAGCTCGAGGCCAATGAGAAGAAGGAAGGAGAAGAGGAGACCGAAGATCAAGCAGTGCAGCCATTTTGTCCCGGCCAAGTATCCTCGAGGACTCGCGAACTCGGATCCGGAAGCAATTTGCTTCGGCATTGATTTGTCCAGAGGCCTGCAGGTCGTGGTTGGACAAGCTCCGCCGAGACTTTCCGAGCATTCTCGCGCCTTGCCGTCCCGATCCTTCTGGAACAGCACACGACGCTCTAGAATCTATCCGTGATCTTCGCAAAAGCATATGACAGACTTCAGCAGAGCATGTGGTTTTCTCGCCATGCGATTGTTCTAAGAAAGCTTTCGGCAGGCATCTCCAGATGCTCGGCCGGGTGAAGTCGTCAAGGTTCGTGTCTTGCATTGGTGATTGCGAAGACCAGCGAAGTTGTCTGTAAGAGCTTGACAGTGCTGCAATCCTCTGGCGCTGTGAGTGTCACCACAAGCCTTGCACTGCCTTCGTTTGCAGTGCCACCGCGTGCTCGTGGACTTCGTTCCCCACAGTAGGGACTATGGTGAGATGCCCATCTCAGCAGGCGAAGAGGCGCGCACACGCAGACGCTTTGATGCTTGAATGCCGGACGTCATGAGCAGTGCGCGTGAGGTCACAATTCGCTACCCACCTTCCGAGGACGTGTTTCATCCGACGTCATGGTAAGGCGCCTGACTGTCAGCGGCTCGTTGCACCCCAAGGACTGGATTTTTGGTTGGAAAGACTGGCCGGAGCACGATGAGGCCGCCGCAATGAAGTGCTCCCTACATCCAGAGGTAGGCCTGAGGCCCGAAAGCCTTAAACTTTATCACCGCAATCTCAGCCGGGTATCGGCGCGCCAATGGCAGGGGTGGATTCCGGCACAGTGCCTGGGCATCGGCGCGCCTGACAGACTTGAGGGATGCTTAGGGCAGGGGGGATTACCTTTGAGTTTGTAGCACTGTAAGCAGAAGATATTATTCTTGTTGTTTCCTCTTATCTGCTGAGGGCTCAGGGTTGGTTGAAGGGGTTAGCGGGTACATGGGGCTCAGGTGAAGGTACCAGAAATTCAGGGATGGTTTGGGCTCAGAGTTATGGGTCACCAGGCTTAGGGTTTATTTCCTTCAGGGGACCTGTGGGGAGGATCGCTGAATCTTCTTTTGCCTGCTAGGCATCAGCCTGGACGAAGACGATGTACAGGCAGGGCCGCCCATGCTGCCATGCTTGTCCGATTCAGGTTTGCGGTCCGGGTTTACGGTGCAGATTTCTTCTTCTTTTTCTGCTTCTTCTTCTATTTTGAGTTTGTGTGGAGGCGGCTGAAGACAGGCGCGCCGGTTCGTTTGGGCCTCTGAGAATGAGAGCAGCCCTTAAGGGTGCGGCCTTTTGCTAGTAACAGGTCACAGCCGAGCAGCGCAATGCCAACGCTTCCAAACGAGGACTGGCCTGCGGGGTTTGCGTGTGTTGCAGTGTTGGGTCTGACGGCCGTCGGGCGTCGCAGGCGGGCAAGAAGCATGGTCGCGACGTCTTTGTGCGCACCTCAGTTTTCTTGTCATGAACCCGAAGCGGAAGATTGGCAGCCGGTTCCAAAAAGTAGCGGAGGTCTATGCTGATGGCGCCGTGTTCAAAGCCGATTGGCAGGATGATGCTCTAGATGGGGTCTTATGCCCAGTTTGATTTTCCTTGCTCTAAGGCTTGTGCAACCTCGCATTCTGAAGCTACACGTTCTCCTCTCCTCTCTCACCTCTTTCCTCTCTCCTCCATGTTTTCTCTCGCTCTCTGGCTGTCTTCCTCTCTCTCTTTCTTGTGCCATCTCCCCTTTTCCTCACTTCCACGAGTTTCCCTTGCTCCATGCAATACGAATCCAGACCTTGAGGTGTCTGTCCAGAACGTGGCGCCCAGCTGGCATCCCAGCCGTTGGAAATGCCACGTGATTTGGCCGTCTTCGCAACTCTCTCACATGTACCCGTACAGTACCCGTACAAAGGTTCGGGAAAGAGCCCAGTCGAAGCCAAGGAGGAGAAGGCAGACCCCAAGCCTGAGCCCCCAGAGCCAGAGCTCATGGCCTTGACAGGAGGATGCAGAGCCGGCGGCTCAGACCCTGGTTCAGATGCCTTCGCCCTTGAGTACCCCCTCCGGCACTCCGCGAGCTGATGGTGCCCTTGCCAAAAGGAAATGGCATCAGCATGGCAACTGGTGGAGCAAACAGCGACATCTGAAAACCGCTCAGGCCGGTTCTTTCGCTTGGAGTGCATTGGTTCAGCGAGGATTGTCGGAGGGGTGTAGTGAGTTCTGTTCTGTCAGAGCAAGGGCTGAGCACTTCTGAACCATTCAAGAACGGCCAACATGTCCTCTCCAGCGTGTAGTATGTCAAACGTGGAGGAAACCAACGAGGCTCCACGGCGGCCGGCCAATCCCGATCAGACGCGTGCTCAGACTGACGAGCCGCTCCGAAGCCTCTACCTCTTGCTTTGTGAACTTTCTGAGTCCCGACTCAGGTTCCAAGCCCGCATAGCGGCACGTGCATTTGCGGCAGCGACCGCCAATCAGTCAAAGTCCTAAGCCCAATATCATGTCCCAGCTCACAGCCTATCACAAACACTTCTGCCGAGTCCACAAGGCCTGAGCCGACAACTCACAGTCGTCCAGAGCCCCCCAGGGATGTGTGCGGGTACTCGCTCCAAGCCCGCATGCGGCGCTTGGTAGTGCTTCCACCCGAGACTCGACGCCTTATGCCCTGGAATCCGACAAAACGACACACGGGGTATGCTTCGGTGGTTGTTGCATGGCTGCTGGGTTGGTCGTCCCGATATCATCTTTACTACGCATAGGTAGCTATGTTCCGCTGTCGAGCCCAACAACCACCGTCGAGTTAGGGGTTGGTTACTCTAGGGTTTCAAATCAATTATTTAGGGTTTCGAAGTTCAGGATGTAGAGCTCAATCTGAGATTCTTGAGTTTGAAGCGTGGTATCTCGGATTTCGAACTGAAAGGGGGAGCAGTTTGTTGGCTTCGCCAGTTTCTGGTTTACAGTTCCGGATTGAGGCTTCAGAGTCCCGGCTTTAGGCAGATGAAGAGCGTGAGCGATGGTCAATCTGGGCTCTAGTCAGTTTGAAATTGAGGGACTTAGAGTTTAGGATTTACTGGTTTATAATTTAGGGTTTAGGTGGTTTAGGCGTTGATCGATTTAATGGCTTAGTCCGTTTTGGGTTTGGAATTCAGAGTTCCGGGTTTAGAGTTTAGGACTTAGGCAGCTTGGGGTTTGCACGTTTCGGTTTTCGATATGAAGATATTTGACGGGTCGTCCGAGCTTGGGTTTGGGCCGCTTAGGTTTCAAAGGCATCCAGTCGAGGACTGGGATTTTGAGTTCATGATGGTTCTGCAGTTGAGGCTACAAGTTTGAGCTTTGCGATAAATGAAGATTTCCTACTCCTACGTCTACGTCAACTCCGACTCCTCTTGCTGATGCTGCTGCTGCTGCTGCTGCTGCTGCAGGTGCTGCTACTGCTACTTCTGCTGCTGCTGCTGTTGCTGCTACCGCTACAGCTATCGCCACCGTGACTGCTGCCCGCTGCGACAGGCATCCAAGAATCCGCAAACAAACCATTTCCAGGAGAAGGAACATTGACCGCCGCCCATAATATGTAGAGTTTAGAAGTTTAGTCAGTTCAAGGTCTACCCTTGAGGGTTGAGGGTTTGTGGGGCTGTTTAGGTTTTCGACTTGGGCATTCTAGGATTCAGAGTTTAGACTTCACGGCTTCGTCAGTGTAGGTTTGGAGTTCTGGGTTGTACGTTGAGAGTTTCGGCCTAGGTAGCCCTGAACTAGAGTTTTGGGGTCCATGTCTCCATCCGGCCGTACGGTTGAACGTGTTGCATGAAAAAACGTGGGCACGATGCTTTTGGATCAAGGAGGAACTAGTTCCCGCTTTCGCAGCCTGCTATTCAGCATCTTGTGCCACCTTTCCTTGGAGGCATGCGCTGCCTCGTTTCAGGTTGTGGACATTGACTGTGAAGGTTTGCTGTGCGCAAAATGAAGCGTGCAAGCCTGCTGGGCCTTCCAGAAGCAGCCTTCTGTTGCTGCCAGGCCATGGGCAAGGGAACGTTCACGATCGACAAGTCCCTGGAGGCATCAGCTCCCGACCCTTTGGCCCCCGTTCTCGTCTCCCATGCGCCCCTCTGCGGCGAACAGGCCAACATGCATCAGTACCAGATCGTTGGCCGTGCCGCTCCCACCCCGAAGAACCCAACGCCGAAGATTTACCGTATGAGGACCCGGAGCGGTTGGTGGGGATGGGGGAGGGGTAAGTTGCCCGTAGTAGAGTGTGAACCAGCAGTCCCCGTGGCTTCTGCCAGGATTTTCGCTCGTAATGTGGTACTGGCAAAGTCCCGCTTCTGGTACTTCATGAAGAGGCTCAACAAGGCCAGATGGAATGGTTGGGTTAGGCCTCAAAGCCAGTTTAGATGCAGTATCGGAATCTGCTACGAGGCCAAGAAGAGTGGTGGCGAGCTGCTGTCTGTGAACGAGCTGCACGACACTTCCCCCACTAAGGCCTGGACTTGGACTTGGCCGTGTTCGTCCACCGAACGTGACAGTGTGGAAAGTTCAGTTGACATACAGGTGAAGAACTATGGCATCTGGCTGCGCTATGACAGCCGCACCAACACCCACAACATGTACAAGGAAGGGACAAACTGTGGGTGAGAGCTCAGCACAGCGGCCTCCCCTACCTGCCTTCAGGAGTTCCGCAATGTGAACATCAATGGTGCCGTCGGACAGCTGTGCGCCACACATGTGCTCACCATGCTAGATCTCTCAGCTTTCACGTTCAGTCCAGGCATGGCCGCACTTGTGGCATGGCATAGAGGCCCTTTACACGGCAGGTATCAGGAGATGGCCGGCCGACACCGGGCGGACCCTGGATCCATTCAGATTATCCATGCAGCCGTCTCAGGTTCTCTCAGTAGGCAAAGGCCTTTCCAGCCGAGTTCTTCGAGCCGTGAAATCCAAATCGTGGTGACTTGCCGCCGCGGCCGTTGGCCATCTTTGCTGCTTAAGGCCACCACCATCCCCGATGACAAGTGCCGACGTGAGCATGTGCTGGACTGCGGTGAGAGAGTGTGAGAGAAGCATTTCGACTTGGCTTCGTCTCTGCATCAGGAGATGCACGACCGTAAGCTCAAGTTCCCCGTGGTCAGGACATGCTGTTGGGTTCGACCGAGCGAGCATTTGATCCTTTGCTTCTCATCCTGCCACACTGCTGCGTCCGTGCCTGGTTGCCGTCGCATGCTGCTGCATCGGCAGAATCATCACGGTACCCTTAGGGTAAGCCTTGCACTTTCGGTCATCCATCTTGCATCAACCATTCTACGTATCGCGTTACTTCAGAGAGATGCTCGGAAGGGGCCACTGTTGCCGGAGCCGTGATGGTCAGAGCTGTGCCAAGATGATACAGTAGCCGGACACGCCTGCCCACTGCAGTAACGGTCGTGACAGGCAGGCCACAAGGTGCACGCCCTCCTGGTACAGCTGCCTCGAAACAGCTACCACCGTTTGATACGGTTTAGCTTGGTTTCGACACGATCAAACCCGCGAGGAAGATTCCTCACGCAGCCAAGAAGCTTCGCACTACCTTCAAGGTCATGCGAGGGGTCCAGGAAAGCTTAAATGTTCGTGCTTGTGCCGGGTGCAGATTTTGGCCTCTACTGTCATCAGCTGCCTTTGTAGACCTGTAGTAGTCGGCTTGTGCACAGGCCAAGCGCCCTCAGACCTTCGTGAAGTGAGACGGCACCTTCTGATCGACTGATGCCGTGCAGATGCAGCCTGGAGCGGGAAAAGTGGCCCTCAGGGGAGCTTTTCAGCAAGGAATCTTGTCGACCGACACCAAGAATGCCAAACCGGATGGCGATTGTGGCCATTTCAAGCTTGCGGTGCGGACAGGGTTTCAGGGAAGCATCTTTACTCCAAGCCTGTTGTCGGGTGTGTAGCATCGATCTAGATTGCAGCTTGCACGACAGCACATATTTGAGCAATTCCATGGGACGTCTAGCACTTTGCATCGGCGGCCACGATGCAGGACACGCTGCTTTGCACTTTCGTTCATAGTTTGAGATGTCTTTGCTGGTTCGATCTCGTCTTAGGGCCTGAAGCCTTCGCGCGTGCAGAGCTTACTGTATGCCATGGGTTGAGAGTTTTTCATGCCGACTCGCTTGAATGAATTTCAGGTTCATGCTCTGGCCGCACCGCGCTAACGCTTCACCAGCTGCGCGCAAAACCCGCCCATGTCCAAGCACTGTTGGCTGACTTGCGCGTCTTTGTCTGGCGGAGATTCGGTGAGGTCTCTTTCGTGGACACGGTTCATGCAGGACTTTCTGCTGCTTTCAGAGACCAAACAAAGCCCCATACAATGCCCAGTCAGGTGACGCAGGAGGGCCTTACCACCAGAGCCAAAATGGCTACTGGGACGAGTATGGGCAATGGGTCGCCGAGGTCACGATCTCCAACTGTTTCAATTCCGAGGTTTCAGTTGGAAAGCAGGCTGCTCTACAAGATAGTGATAGCAGTGATCCGAAGAAGCAATGATGTACAAGTTGCTCGCTGCTCCTGTCCCGGACAACGATGCCAAATGTGATTGCCAGGCAGAGAAGGAAGCCCAGGACGGACTCATGGCTTCTGAAAGCATTAGCCCTGTCTTGAGAGCCCTAGGTACTGCAGCTTGATTTGAAGATGCAGATGTCGCTTCGACAAAACATATCATTCTTTTGGATGCAGGCTGACGCGGAGGCCGAGAACCTCAACACCCAGCGGGCTCGGCTCTCGAAAAGCACGGACTTCGCACCCAAATGGACACCTGCATTCCTTGCCTCAGGAACTGGCCCTGGCAGATCCGGCATCGGTGGTTGAGATCGCAAGTCAGAAGGCCACGGATCTTCTTTATAGATTCTATCGACATTACGTTTTTTTTGATTGTCTTTTTCTTGTTTTCAGGGGCTTGCATTGGGGTCGATCGCCTTTCATACATAGGGCAATTCGGAAACGGACGCAAACGGGAATCCAAGCCCGGTCCAGAGTCGTGCCGAAGACGACTTTCATTTGGGTCAACCATGCCGTTGACTGCTGCAGATTAGGGAAGGTCTGAAGGATGAGAGCTTAAAACAAGTGCACTGAATCGAAGCTCTGTCTCGCTGATATGGGTGAGGAATCGCAGGGAACTGGCATCCGTAATGAAAGCAAACGAAGCCCGACGAACAGATCGAAATATTTGGTAGCCGTGGGACACCGCCTTGGATCAGTAGAACCCGAAGTCTCCGTCGCCCCGAAAGAGCCGCTGCCGGCCTGCAGTCTCGCAGGCTGGCAAAGCGATCACGCGTGCAGAGAACAACTCAGCTGATGCACAGGCCGCTGCTCTATGCTCTGCCTGGGGAGAGCGTGAAAGCACGTCGGAAAAGGGCATCAGGTATAAACCAGTCTCAAGACGAAGATCTGGGGTCGGGCCCTGTCAGGATAGGAAGGCTTGGGCCGATGTCCAGAGTCTCTTGTGTCTCAACACCCTGGTGAGGTGTTGCACATGCGGCTGCACGCGCAGAAGGCAACCAACCTGGTTCGCTACTTCCGGGACGAGCTGCGAGAACTTATGCGACGGCGTAGCACTGCCGGCCTCAAGCGGCAACTTGACAGCCTGGATCAGTACTTGGACACCCTCAAGACCTGTGAACATCACAATTCTGGGCGGTGCAACAAATTAAGCAAGAGGGCCTTGAGCGGCCTTGGCCATGATGCCAGTGCCGCTGCTCATGCCGTTGAGCAGCTGATTCAAACGAGTCGGAATGCAAAGCGGCGTACTTTCCCAATCTTGGACCTTCTACGCACGGGGATTGGGCCGGCTCCAGACCAACTAGATGCACTCGATGCCCCGACTCCGCCGGACTATGTTCCACCTCCGGGACCTGTCCCAGGAACTGCAGCGGGCTGCAATTGCGCTCCGCATTCGCATTGTGCCGGGCGTGGTCGGGAATTTCCTTGGTGCAAGGTAAACCGAACGGAGCCTTGCTCACTGCTCTCTGAGAGGTCCTTCGTGGACGCATCTGGAGCGGACCATCGAGTTGCTGGCTCGGGACAACCACCTGCAGTCTGGGACTATTGTGGCCCCCCGAAGGAGAATTCTGAGACAGTCCACGCCGGTGCTCATTGCGAGAGAAGAGACGACATCGTTGCGAGGTATCATGATGATCCAGACTTCTGGGACAAGGACGGGAAGTTCAACTGGAACAAAGTGCCTCGCAGGGATCGCATGACCGTTGAGGCCATGGTGGTCCCCAAAGAGGGCCAGGGCCTCTGCGTGCGAACGCCCTCCAGCGGGGCGCACTACGTCTGCCCCACAGCACAGGATGATCTGGACGAGGCGAGGCCAGAAGGAACGGAGTGGGCGCGCACACGCACCTGGGACTTCTGCGTCCAGATCTCAGCCCTGCAACATGTAGTGGTCGTGCTGATGATCCACATCCTTTCTTGCCAGGTCCCTGCAGCACCTGAAGAGAAAATCAAGGTCTTACAAGAGTTGGCTCAGGAGAATCAGGTGGGGAGCCGTCGATGTTGTTTGATTAGCAATCCTCTCGCCCCGGCAAGATTGAAAGCCAAGCGAGCGGGGTGGAGATGCAGGACGCCTCACGCTACAGGGCTGCTTTGAGCGCACCCATGCGCTGGTGTCCGTATAATTTCCCTGCTTTGCCCATGCACTGTTTCTCGCTTCACGTGGACACTCTTCTTCTCGTTCTCTGCTGCATGTCGTGGGCACCGAATCTTCCAGGAGCAAGAGACCTTCCGTAAGCCCTTCGAAAAGGCCTGGTTGGTTGAAAAATCATGATCGACGCAGGTAGCCGCACTGCCCAGGTGTGTTGTGGCTTCTTTCAATGCGCCTGTGTGCGGTTGTCTTGTAGCACACGTGCGCGCGCGGTAACATGCGGTATCATGCGGTAACGGCGAACGCAGCCAGCACTCTGCCCCAAACGACGTTCAGCTTTTCTCCTAGTCAATCACCATGTCTGGAAACGACGGAGCCCGCGCCGTTCCAACCAAGGCGATGCCCAACGTAAGGCGCCGGCGCAGCATCTTTTTCGCGCCGGTGGCAGATCGGGGCATCCACCACGCCGTTGAGGGCATTCGCGTCGTGCTGCAGGTGGGTCACCGAGGCCGCTACCCCGCCTGGATGGCGCTGGCGGCGGAGATGACGATGGAGGACAGGACGGCGATCATAGAGTTCGCGACGGTGCTCAGCATGGTTTGTCCATCGACGGATATCGACGGTGCCCACGTCTGTTGCAGTCGGCACACATGAACAGCCTCTACCCGGCCAGGGCAGCCAGAGGATGACAACTCGGCAGACAGTGAGAGGGGTCAGTGATCCTCGACGCTCTGACCACGACACTAAGGCGGCGTTAGCGACTGGACTGGCTGGTGGCACCACTGGGCGCCGGAGACGATGGCTCAGAGTTTGCGACGCCGCAGTTGGGGGCCGCGACGCCCAGTCAGGGTGGCCATGGATGAGCGCGGCGACAGGACGAGATTGCATCCGACCGGAGCGGTCAAGCCCCAGTCTCTTCCTCGGCATGCATAATGAGAATAACGGCAATCCCGACGTCAATCCGGCGGCGTAGAGTGAGGGGACAGAGTCGGAGTCGACCATCATCATTCGCGACTCCTGCTGCCACCGACGCAAACATGCCGCCGCCGGAGCCCATCCCTGACCGAATCCCAGGCCTGTCAGATGGACGCCGGCACCGGCGGTACATGGACCTTCGTTGACGGCTACCTTTACGCCGGGGACTATGACGTCAGTGAGGCCATCAGAGCCACCGACGAGGACACTCCTGAAGCTCCGCGCGGGGCTCGCGACGATGAGCACGCCGGAGCCACTGGCATTCGAGATGACAAGGCCAGGCAAGCCTTTACTGCTCTCATGCTCGCCACACAGGGCGCTTTGGCGATCATCGGCGGAGCGCACAAGCAAGCGGACTCCGCTCTTGAAACCAGGCGGCTTAGCTGGTCACGTGATTCACAGCCCTCTGCATAGGGCATGCAGTGATCTTGGGCATGACCGTGTTCCACGGCGCGGGGAGCCAGGCTCTACCAGATGCGAGAGGCCGACAGCGCCAGGGTCTCGCGGAGTGTTGGGCAGATGATTGCAGTGTTTGATGTGCCATGTGGTAGCAAAGCGGCTAATGGGACATCTCCTTGCCACTAGTCGCACCATTCTCCATCGCAGCTCTTAAAACATGCGAAGCGAAGGTCGATCCCAAAGGCTCTGGCAGGTGTAAGCAGAGACTCGGGGTTGACAATCCACATCAGCAGCCGCGGAAGGTCCTGTCGACACGAATGTACACTGTTGCTTAACCTATGCCGCAAAGGCAGCCTAACAGGTGCTGAGAAGCTTAGGCTCAGAAGCCAGCTGAAGAGGCGAAAATAGGCAGGGCCGAGACGATGCCGCCGGGCCCATCTTCGAAGAAAAATCCGCACGGCGGCTGCCGTCGCATCTCTGCCTTGGAAAGCTCCGAGAGAGGGCCACTCGGAAAGCCACAGAGCCGGGCGACCGATGAGGGTCAAACGTGTCAAGCCTCCAGTGGGGAGCAGAGCCGAGCAGCCGATGAGGCCCAAACGTCTCAGGCTTCAACTGTGGAAGATCTCCTGCACATATCACGAGCATGTCTGGCAGCACTTCCCCCAGCTGAAGCTCAGATCGTACTCCGGTTTATCAACTCGCTTCCGCCGCCGCCGGCATTCTTATGTTGTCCCACATCCTTTGCACAGATCCCAAGTGCTGGTCGCGAGCAGACCGAGCGGGAGGTAGCTTGCCAAACTGGTTCTACGGATAGACGTGAGCAGTGACTCCGACTGCTTGCCGACAGCGCGTCAGGAGGACAGTGATCAGGTGGGGCATCTACCGACGCCCGTACGCACGTTGGCAGCTTGCGTCTCAGCTGGGTCTGCGGTCTCCGCGCCCAGCCAGGAAAAGCCCTCCCGCATATTCACTGGGGGGCTGCGGAACAGCTTCCCATCATGACTGCAGACGCCCTGCAGAGCCTACCGGCTGTGATGATGCATGCACCTCCGCATGCTGCAGCCCTTCGAAGCAATACTCCTGGAGTACCACGATGTGCAACACTTTGCGGTTCGACATTCTGAATTCCAGATGGAGCCAGTGAATTATCAGTAGACAGAGGCATCAAGAGATGTTGTCGTCGCAGCGGTGAAGGAGCTACGAATGGTCGTGCTTCCTCTTGCTCAAAACACCCACGTCAAGGCCCTTCTCAATTGGCAGGAAGAGCAGACTGGTGGCGGTCCATCTGCTTAGGGTTTAGAGGCTTAGAAGTATTACAGCTACTTGCCGAAGCGGCCCCTACGCAGATTGCAGCAGGAACAACGGAGGACGACCGTCCGCAGGGCCTACAGCTCTTGAGCGTTAAAGATATCCATGCAGAAGAGACGATGCTGGATGAACAGGAGTCGCGGGCGCCGAGTCCTGAGAAGACGAGCCAAGCTAGTCAAGGACAGGCGAGACGCAGGTGTAGAGCACGAAGGCATCGACAACAGTTGGAAGTGGTGCGACAAATCGAAGTGTATTGCAAATGCTTTTTCCAGCTGGATACGCAGAATCGAAGCCCCAGGCTCGAATCATGCAGCTGGCGACTGGAATTCGCACAGCGTCCCGCTGCAGCATGCCGTGTGAATCTGTGCAGGTCCTGCTTACAGAAACGCGTCAAAAGAAGGGCGAGCTTGCCGGGTCCCAAGTCCGGGCTCTGCGCAGATTTCATGATACACATACATTGCATACCGAGCGCGCGGGGGGTGAAGGTTCTCTCCTCGCCCACTGAGGAGAGGGAACCCAAGCCGTCACGGCCGGGATGTGGGAGGCAGCGCAACGCGCTGCCAGTGATCAAAGCCGCTGGAACAGCGACACGGCACAATCGAGCTTTCAATCGGGACCCTAATCAAGGCCTCAAAAACCTTCGCAGTTTCGTGCTCTATCGAGGATGTTATATGCATTGCAGCCAACTGGGAGCACCGCTGACCAGCCAGAACAAGGACGAACACCGCTCCAAAAAAAAACCCTGCTTACAGATCGAGGGGTGGAGCTAATCAAAGGCTGCGGGTACTCACTGTCAACCCTTAACAGCCTTAGCGGGTTTCTTTTGGGGGAGATTAGCGCAGACATCGCGGGGGAAGGCCAGCAGTGAGACTTTATTTTCCTTCAGGCGACGTGTCCCACGTCTTCATGCACTTCTCAGGTTGATAAACGGATGGCTGTGGGATCGGCGACGAAGAAAAGAGAGGGGGTCTTGACTCTGGTCAACGCTGGAATACGACCCTTCTCTTGTAAGGTTCTAGCATTCTAGCAGGGTCCTCAGGGTCAAAGTCTGTCACGACACTGCTGCCGTCGAGACACTGAACGTTTATCAGTGCGTATGGGTTCACACAGACGAACCGGAGCCGAATAAGCGTCGTCGTCAGAGCCTGTTGGACAAACACGGCCACACAATGCATGGCGCGTCGGGATACATTTCATATTTGCAGGTGATTTAGGTGATTTCAACTCGGAGCTGAAAAGAGTGCCATTTCTGATTGGACAGCGGCTCAACTGCTCTGAATAGCATGAGGTCCTTCACCCACATACGCTCACGAGATTTGACCAGGTCAATGACTTTGGTGGCCTGAAACACCTGGTAAACAGGGGACCCATGCGGTCAGAATATCATGCGCTGATCAACAATCCAAACGTGTACAGCAGGCAGAGGTTCCGTTTGGGTTTAGGACGAGGAAGGAGATGATGCACTGTGCCCTCTCTGCAAGCGTCAGAATCATTAGACACGTTCGGCTGCCGAAGGCCACTGTAGACAACAATACCTACTCCAAGGCGGCACTTGAGTCAGCGTACTGCAGAGCTGACCCGCTGACCCTGCCATCCGTGAGAACTACCCAGCCAAGACAGCCGCTATGATAACCATACAGCCGACACCGTCAACGAGATCCTTATCCACGCTGTTTGCCCACCGGTCAGCAGAGGCAGGTCTGGGCGCAAACAGCGAATCGACAGCTGCCACACCATCTTTAGGCCTGGAGACATACTCTCACGCGCCCCGACGGTGAAGGTGGCGCTGTGCTCACTATGCCCGAACACGTGCACCGCGTGTGGCACCGCAGAAGAGACCTGCGCAAGTGCAAACCATACTCAGCAAAAGGGGGTGTCGGGCTACCTGCAGCAAGCAGAAAGGGCAGCCCAATTCGCGACATGCAAGACCTCTCTACAGAGCTGTCAAACAGATGATCCCATGGAAGCCTAAGCCGCTAATCATGCCTAAGCATCCGGATGGCGCACCCATGTCCAAGAAAGAGGAACATCAGGCGCTTGTTGCACACTGCAAGCAGCTTTTCGCTCCATTGGTAGATGTACCGCAAAGAGTGGGGTCGCAGCTCTGCGTACCGCAGACGGAGGCGCGCTGGCAGATCCAGCTCAGCTCAAGCACGCTGCATTGGGGAAGGCCACGCCTGCGGACTCCGCTCCGGCCGCAGCTTGGAAGGTATGCTCACAAGCCATAGCTCCCGCTCTAGCCAGGAGCGTTCTTGCAGGATGCCCACGCTGCTCTGCCGCAAGCCTGGAAAGATCCACAGCTCTGCTTTCTTCCCAAGCCACACAAAGCACCGTCGTCTGCAACAGCCCTGCGGCCTATAGGCCTGCTGAAACCAGATGGAAAAGCCTTTGCGGGGCACATCAAATCTGTGTTATTATGCCAGGCCGGGTCAATGCCTGTGTGCAGCAGATACAGCAAGGCTTAAGGGAACTGGGAGGCTGCCGCTTCACTGTCAGACAACGAACAAAGCAGGACAAGATGTTCAAGAAGCGGGCGGCCGGCTGGTGTCCATAGGACCAAAGCCAGCCCTTCGATCGAGTCAACCGCACCGAGCTTGTCGGTGCCCTGGAGAAACACGAAGTGGATACAGAAGGGAGGTCTACGCTGGTTGCCATCCATGATCAGGCAGCGTGTCAGGTCAAACACAAGTTTCAGGCAACCGACGTCACTACCGCCCAAGGTATCAGACAAGGCTGCCGTTTGGCACTGGCACTGTGAGCCCTGCTCTCGTCGCAGGTCCATGGGACATGACACCGCCTGAGTCCACGCCAACGTGTCTGCCACTTACACTATTTGCCGCCGACCATTTAGGCCGCTGGATGATCAGGAGAGCAGACATTCAACATTTGGGAAGCTCTCATGCTACAATTGTTTTAGGGGGCCTTTAGGGGCACAATAGCAGACAGCGACAGTTTTGCAGCTGATCGCTTAGGCGACTGCAATGGCGAACCCTCAGTGTAGGGGTGAGTAGTTCACATTCGCCTGCTAGCTGATGCGCTTGAATGAAAAAAACGCCGTTTCCAGAGACGACTTGGAGCGAGCCCGACGGGAAGGATGGACCCGAGGTCACGGCCCCCACGACGAGATCCTCGGCATCTTCGCCAAGGCGGTCGGCGACCTGGGGGTTGCGGAGGCGGCCGACGAACTTCTCCCGACGGCGCAAGGCTTCCACTTCCGAGCCGGCAGGTGGTGGGGAGGCGGTGCGCACGGCGGGTGCAAAATGTGCCCCGGCACCGGCTAGCCGTTCCAGCTTGTTTCGTCGCCGAACGGCGTGATACAGCTGATACAGCGCTTATGCCACATGACGACAATCGGTCGGAGTGCCCGCATGTTGTGTAGCACACGTGTGTGTGCGCAGTAATATGCGGTATCGGCGAGCGCTGCTAGCACTCTGGCCCGAAAGACGTTCAGCTTTTCGCCCACCCTGGCCACCCAAAGCTGCCTTATCGGCGGACGGCGAACGGAAGCGGGTCGGGTGCAGAACGCGCCCGGCACCGGCTAGCCGTTCCAGCCGGCTTTGTCGGCGAACGGCAAGATACAGCGCTTATACCCCACGACGAAAAGAAATGAGTTTTGGTTCAACGTGGGTCGGAGTGCCCTGCATGTTGCATCATGATGCCTCGCTGCCGTCAGGATCCTGCAACCGAGACTCAGGACATTTGCTGTTGAAAAAGAACAGTTTATGTGATGCAGCACGTCTGCGCTTCTTTGCGTGATGAGCAGGAAGTGGCTTTGCAGCAAGACTACAGTCAGCAGCCTGCCTATGACAACGGATTCGGTGGACCGGCTTTTCAACAAGGCTGTAACTAGAATTTGCCTGCGCTAGCCGATCTGCCCGGGATAATAGCCAACATGCGGCGACGAGATTCAAGACAATTGGCAGGGTTTGGCCTATCTTTACATTCCGCAGCGCTTCTGAGCGTCGAAGCCCCAGTTTTTGCGATTTTCTCATCCGCAATCGCAGCGAACCGGCGGCGTTTCTAGGATTCTCCGACAGTACTTGAGCGAATCTTACGTGCAGTCTTAGGTGCTGCCTTGGGTCAGCCGACCAGATCACAAGAACGATTATGCGGCTAGGCAGAAGCATGGTTGGCGACGCCAGGTCCAATTTCGTGCTGCATCATGCAAGCAGGATTTCCTGGTGTTGTGCACTCAGGCAACCTTCTTGTAGCTCCGTATGGTCTTTGCCTGCCTTCAACTACAATCTCGACAAAAAACCATCTGCGTCGTATTTCTATTCCAGATAGATCGCGAACAGAACTCATATCCCATACTGTGATTTTAAAAGACAAAATTCAACAAATTGAATTGAAAAATAAGATATCAAATCTCATGCGAATTTAATATTGAAGACTATAGATAATTTTATAACACGAAATCATATATATGATATTATTTCCAGCTTTTTTTTTGGGATGGCGCGAGCCGATTTTTATCCCAAATTTTCGAATAAAAATCATTAGAATTATATTTTACAAGATTTAATAAAAGAAAAGAATTTTAGATTTTCATTTCAATATTCTTAATGATTCCAAGAAAAATTATTTTAAATGAATAAAATACGAAATTAAAAATAATATTGAAAAATAATATATGATATATATCATAATATTCATAAATTTAATAGAATTTCTTTATGATTATTCTTTCTATATTCGATTAAATCGAGAAGATTTAATGAAAAAGAAAGATAATATTATTTATATTTATATTAAAAGAATATAATATTATTTCGGTAATTTTTTATTTGTAATAATTAAATTCTATTCTATTTTATATTATAATGATTCCCGAAATTTTATTATTTACTTATTAGAAATTCAATAATATTCCAATTTTTGAGGTTGCTAT